GTGAGGGGGAGGTGGGGAGAGAAGGTGAGGGTGGTGGAGGGGCGGGCAGGCTGCTGGTGCAGGCAGGCAGGCAGGCAGGCAGGCTGCTGGCGCAGGCTCTGCTCTGCAGGCGCCTGCGCAGCGGCGCCGGCGCAGCGGGCACGCAGGGGAGGCGCGGCGTGGGCACGACGGCGCGCACCTGACGCCCAGGATGCCCTTGAGCGGGCCGTTGGCCGCCTCCCGGAAGGCCTCGTTCACCTCCTCGGCAAACGTCTTCTTCTCCACCTGGACCACCAGGTCCACCACAGACACGGTGGGGGTGGGCACGCGCAGCGCCACGCCTGCAGCGGGAGCGCGAGGGGTGAGGAGGCGGGAAGGAAGGGGTGCAAGGGGGGGAAAGGGAGTGAAGAAGGGCAAAGGCGTGCTGCCCTGCAGGCGTGCTGCCATGCCCCTGGCTGGCACATGCCCCAGGCCCAAGAAGAGCTCACCGTTGAGCTTGCCCTTGAGCTTGGGCAGCACCAGCGCGACGGCCTTGGCGGCGCCGGTAGTGGTGGGCACAATGTTGAGCGCGGCGGCGCGCGCGCGGCGCAGGTCGCGGTGCGACGCGTCCAGCAGGCGCTGGTCGCCCGTGTAGGAGTGGGTGGTGGTCATGGTGCCCTTGACGATGCCAAACTTCTCGTCCAGCACCTTGACAAAGGGCGCCAGGCAGTTGGTGGTGCAGGAGGCGTTGGAGATGATGGTGTCGCTGTGCTTGTAGTCGTCGGCGTTCACGCCCACCACGTAGGTGGGGATGCCGCTGCCCTTGGCGGGGGCGGTGATCAGCACCTGCGGGGGGCAAGGGGGAGGGGCGGGCACGGGAGGAGGCGGTGAGCGCAGGCGGGCGGGGGCTGAGCTGGCGCCTGGTTGGCGCTCCGGGGCCTGGGCAGGCCACGCGTGGGCAGGCGCCGGGCGTGCCCCGCGCCCCCGCTGCACGCCGGCAAAGCCGCGGCCCTGACCGTAGCTGTACGCCGCCGCAGCGCCGCCGCGAGCGCGCGGCGCAGCCGCGAGCGCAGCGCCGGCGCGCACCTTCTTGGCTCCCGCCTCGATGTGCTTGCCCGCGCCGGCCTCGTCGATGAACACGCCGGTGCCCTCGATGACCAGGTCGACCTTCATGTCGGCCCAGGGCAGCTTGGTGGGGTCGCGGGACGACACCACCTTGATCACCTTGCCGTTGATGGAGAAGGAGTCCTCGCTCACAATCTGCGGGACAGGGTGGGTAAGGGGAGGGGAGGAGTGGGTGAGGTGGCGGATGATGCGGGGAGGACCAGGAGGTTGAGCAGGAGGAGGAGAGGGAGGGGTGTGTCGCTGGGCGTGGCTGGAAGCCTGGGCTGGCGGAGGCTGGGAGGAGCGCACGCCCGGCGGGCTGGCGGCGGGAAGCAGGCACTACCACGGCACAGCGCAGGCGCGAGCGCTGTGCGGCGCCAGCCGGGCGAGCGGGCTGCGTGGGCCGCTGCTGCCCGCGGGCGGCCCTGCCGTGGGGGCTGCCACTGCGCCTCGCGGCGCCGGCGCGACGCGCCGCCGCATGCCGCCGCCGCCGGCTGCCGGCGCCTTATCCGCCGCGGCTGCGGGCTGCCCTGCGTGCCACCTCCCCGCGGAGCGTCCGCCCTCCTGCACCCTCTCACCTTGACATCAGCGTTGAAGGTGCCCATGGTGGAGTCGTACTTGAGCAGGTGAGAGGCCTGCTTGACACCACCAGAGTCGTTCACGGCCACAACCTCCAGGTTGGAGGCGTCGCCGCGGCCCTCCACGCAGCGCAGGAACTGGCGGCCGATGCGGCCGAAGCCGTTGATGGCCACCCGGATCTTCTTGGCAGACACGGTCACCTGCTTGCTGCCGGAGGCGGCCTGCGGGTGGGCAGGGGCGGGGCGGGCGGGAGCGGCGGATGAGCGCGTCAGCGCCCGCCTCGCACCGGCGGCGAGAGGCCGCATCGGCGGCCTGTTTTGCTCGGGAGGCTGCCCCGAGTTCTGATCACGCGGCAGGGAGCGGGCTGGGGTCCACATGCGGCCGCAGGGATGGGCTGATGCGTGTCGACACTCACGGTGGCGGTCTGGCCAGCCACGCGGCCGTGGAAGTCCTGGCCCTCGGCCTGGCCCAGCTTCACGACATGGGTGCTCTTGAAACCGGTGAAGTCACCGAAGGAGGACTGCAGGGGGTGGGATGTGGAGGTGGGTGCACAGGGATGGTGAGATGGCACCGCAAGGCGCGGCTGGGGCGTTGTGCTGCACCAAAGCCGGCTGTTTTGGCTCCCAGGTGGCTGATCCCGATGCTGGGGCCCGCGCATTGCGCCCCAGCGGGCCGCTGGCGCAAGTGCAGCGAGTGCACAGGGGCTGCCTGGCGGTGGAGGCTGCTCTGGGGCGACGGTGCATCGCCTAGAGCTTGCTCAAAGCGCTGCCAATTGGCTGTAAGCTGGTGGCAGGGGCAATGTGCCGCAGCAATTGCAGGCTCACCTTGCGCGCCTGGCGGACGCCAGCGACTTTCACGGCGGGTGCTGCCACGGCCTGCATGTTTGCTCAACTTCCCGGAAATGAGGGCGAGGCAGGCGTGGGCGTCGACTTTGATGGGAGGGAGGGCGCCTCATCACTCCCCCTGGGTCTTGGGCAACCCCGCCTGCATTCACACCGCCTGGGCAGAACCATTCAGCGCCTGGCGTGGACCTGCTCGCCTTGGGCTCAACTTGCAGCCAGTCCGCAGGCCCGCAAGCGCCCGTGGGCACCTGCAGGTGGTGCTGCAGCCCGCTGGCGGCAGCACCCGCCGCCGCTCCTGCCGCTGTGGGTTATCCACACTTCCAGAGGGTTTGCCGCTCATCCCTCGGCAGGGAGCACGCCCCTGTGACTTGTGGGGCGTCCGTGGCACCATCCAGGCCTTCCGCAGTCACCGGTGCAGGCAGGGGCACCTCTGTCGCACGTGACTGCCTCCCCGCCTCCCGCAGCCGCCACCTTCACGCCACCCGCAAGGGCGTCGGCAACCACCGCACCGTACGCAGCAAAGCGAGCCCAGGAACGTGGCGCAGTTACATGGCAGCAGGCTAGCCGGCAAGCAAGCGCAGCCGCTGGGCGGAACGTGATGCTGGGGCGCCGCACACACCACACGGTGTGGCGCCTTGGCCATGCTGGGGCGCCGCCGTCGCCGCCGCTACGCAGCATCGTCAATGTGCGCTGCAGCGGCCCAGTCTGCTGGGTTGCTGCCCAGCTTGCCTGGGTTCATTATGTTGAGTGGATCCAGGGCCTGCTTGATCGCGTGCATGGCCTGAAAGGCAGGACAGCGGGTGGAATGCTCTGGGCAGCTGTGTGGGTGAGCGAGTGGTGGTGACAAGTGGCTGCGGCGGTGGGCAAGGGCAGCAGCAGGCGGAAGGCCGCAGCAGAATGCCATCCCCACCCCGCACCTGCCGCGCTGAGTGCCGCAACCACGCCGCGCCGCAGCGGGCACGGGCAGCGAGCAGCCAGCGCCCCCTCCTCCCCTGCGGCAGCGGCACGCACGCAGGTGCAGGTGCGCCCCACGCGAAGCCGCCGCCCCCCGGCCACGGCCTGCAACTGCTGCCCACCTGCAGCGCCGCGCCGCCGTGCTCCCGCTCCAGGTGGGCCAGCTTGCCGTGCCCGATGCCGTGCTCCCCCGTGCAGGTGCCGCCCGCGTCCTGCGCCAGCCGCACCATCTCGTCCACGCACTGCCGCGCCCGCGCCACCTCCTCGCCGCTTGCAGCGTCGATGATGAGCAGCATGTGGAAGCTGCGGGGAGGGAGGAACAAGGGGGCGGTGCGTGCGTGTGTGTGTGATGGTGTGGGTGGGAGGTGTGTGGGAGGCGCATGAGGAGGAGGCAAGTCCCCCAGCAGGTGCGGCACGACAGCCAGCGAGAGGAGGCTGCAAAGGTGCCTGCGAAGGTCGTGCTGCGCCTGCTGCCGTGGCCCAGGCGGGCGGCCCCGCTCACTTGCCGTCGCCGACGTGGCCCACCAGCGGCGCCAGCAGGCCGTGCCGCCGGCACAGCTGCTGCGCCGCCAGCACCGTGTCGGTGAGCTGGGACAGCGGCACGCAGAGGTCAGTTGTGAAGCTGGCGCAGCCTGCGAGTTGGTTTGCCAAACAATTGCTTCGGTCGTGGTCAAGATAGGCTGCATAGGCCCAGACGGCCAAGCAAATGCGGGTTCTGGCAGCGGTGGCAGCAGTGCTGCAGAGCATCCAGATGGGGAACACCCAGGGGCGGCCTGCCTGCCCGCACCTGGCCGCAGCGCCTTGGCGGCATAATAAGCCGAGTGGCGGGCAGCCCACAGCCTCTTGCGATCCTCCTCCTTCTCTGCGCAACAAGGAGCAGACAGCAGCAGCTACCCAAAAATTGGGGTTGGGGGTGGGCACAGGCAGCCGCAGAACATGTGCCAATGCAGCAGCAGCAGCAGCAGCAGCAGCTGGGCATGCGCAGAGCCCGCCGGCGCGGGCGCACCCGCCCACGCGAAGCCGCTGCCGCCACAGCCTGCGGCGATGGCGCCGGCCGCCTTGGCCGCCTCCGCCACCGCGGCGGGGCAGCCATGGAACTCCAGGAACAGGTGGGGCGCCACTGGCAGGCTCGTCTTGCTGTACCGGTTTATGGCGTCCACCTGGGGCCAGCCAGGACAGGAGGGGGCGGGGGGTGGTCGCAAGGCGTGCAGGTGAGCACTTGGCGGTGGCTGATGCGCTGTGGGTCTGGCAGGCATCGGGCGCCGGCGGGGAAGGCAGGCAGGCAGGCAGGCCCAGCAGGCAGGCAGGCAGGAGGCAAGGCAGGCAGGCAGGCAAAGCAGGCAAGCAGGAGGCAAGGCAGGCAGGCCGGTGAAGCAGAGGAGGGGTGGGCAGCCCCTGGCCCCACCTGCAGCTCATCCAGCAGCTCGATGCGGGCCACCGGCACCCCGCTCTGCATCACAAGAGTGGCCGCCTCCACAGCGCCCTGCAACAACAGACGGGAGGGGCGCGCGCGTGTGCATGGTGTGTGTGGTTGTGTGGAGTGTGTGTGGAGGGATGGCGCTCAGGGGCAGTGAAAGTGGGTGGAAACGGGTGGTTGAAACACGGTCGCCGCTCCAATGCAACGACCGGCGGCGGGAGGCGCAGCAGCGCAGCGTCACCGCCCCGGGGCAGGCCCCGGCATGTGCCCCTCCCGCCCCGCCAGCTGCCCACGCCGTGGCTGCCCAGCCGCTCCCCGGCTCGCCTTGAGGTCCGCAAACGCGCAGACGGCGGCGGCCGCCGCCTCGGGCTGGCTGTGCAGGCGCAGCGCCACCTCGGTGATCACCCCCAGCGTGCCCTCGCTGCCCACCAGCAGCGCCGTCAGGTCGTAGCCGGCAGACGACTTGCGCACGCAGCGGCCTGCGGAGTGCGGCAGGCACGTGCGTGTGTGTGTGCGAGCGCGTGTGTGTGAGGCATGTGTGTGTGGGTGGGTGCGGTGTACAGGGGTGGGGCGAGGGGAGGGCGCAGGTGGGGTGCGTGCGCCAGCGATGGTGGCAACCGCCTCCTGCACACAGGCAAGCGGCCACCTGTCTGGATGATCTCGCCGCTGGGCAACACCACGGTGAGGGCCCGCACGTTGTCCCGCATGGTACCGTACCGTACCGCATTGGTGCCCGACGCCCTGCGGCAGTACAGGCCAGCATGCGGTTCACACGCAGAGCACAGACACGGCCCCACACTGCCCGACCGGTCCCACCTTCCGCCCATGGCACTGGGATCGCAGAGCAGGAGGCAGCAGCAGCAGCAGCACGGATGGCAGTTGGCAGCCGGGTGCGCAGGCAGGCAGGGGGCAGGCAGGCAGGCAGGCTGCAGCGCAGGCTGCCGCCCCACCTTGTGGCGGCCATGCCGCCCAGCGTGGCGTCCGCTCCCGGATCCACCTGCGGCCGCGAGGTGGTGTGCAGGCAAGGTGGGTGGCGGCTGCTTTGCTGCCACCACCGCATCCACCACTCTGCATGCACCCAACCATGACATACACACATACACACAAGCCACCATACACAAACACCCACCAGCAACACAACACTCGCACCCCCACCACCCCGCACACCCACGCACAACACACACGCCCAACGTGCTCACCGGGAAGAAGAGGCCTGTGTGGTGGAGGTGCTGGTTGAGCTGCAGGCGCGTCACGCCCGCCTGCACCCGGCAGTCCATGTCCTCTGGGCTGACCTGCACAGGTGGTACAGCAGGCGGTACTGCAGCAGCTGGCAGCTTCCCCGGGGGCCCACACCGCCTGCCTGGCCGTGGAGCAGCCAGCCAGGGCCCTTCGTTGGTACCGGCTGCACGGCGGTCCGCTATCCAGGCTACCCCGTACCTGCAGTACCCGATTCATGCGGGACATGTCCAGGCAGATCCCGCCCCGCAGCGCCGCCACGTGGCCCTCCAGGCTGGTCCCCACGCCGAACGGGATGATGGGCGTGCGGTGGGCCGCCGCCGCCCGAACGATGCGGGATACCTCCTCGCTGCTCTCAGGGAACAGCACCGCCTGTGGGAGCAGGTGGAGGGCGCAGGGCAAAGGAGATGGGATGGCAGGGTAAAGCCGGGTGCGCGTCGCTGCGGCAGCAAGCCGACAGCCGGAGCGGGCTGGCAGGGCACCTGTGGCGGCATGGGGCGGTGGAACGACTCGTCCCGCCTGCAAGGAGGGATGGGCCGCATGGAGATAGCATGACTAGCAGGTAGGCGGGCGGCCTGCTGCTACACGGCTGCACACGGCCTGCAATCAAACGGGCTGCCTGCTGCAGCAGGGGCCAGGCCATGCATGGCGGCTGCTGCCCGAGGCTGCCCCACCACCCCCTCCGTACCCGTGCTGCTCCAGCACCGCGGGTGATGTGGACATGCGGTCGCCCACAATGGCCTGGAGGTCGGCCTGAGGGGGAGTCGGCATGAAATGATGAGCGGATGCGGCGCGGCGTGGGAAGCGACACGGCGGCGCCAGCGCTCGGCGGGCCCTGTCAGCAAGCGTCCGTCACCTTCAGCGCGGGCTGCAGCGTGGCCAGCGATCTCCATAACGCCCATGTGTGCGCTGGGCGCCGCGCCGCGGCCCACATCGTGCGCAAGAGAGAGTTTGGTGTCGTGAACGCAACGCAAAGGTGTGCACCCTGTGTATTTGCAGTGGATTCGGGTCTTCGCACGGCAGGAACGAGGAGGAACGGGTCTTCGCACAGCAGGGGATGAAGAACCCGCCTGTCTTTGTCCCACCACCCGTCCGCCAGGTGGCTGTGTGCCGCAGGACAGGTGCTGCACGCTTGTTGGTGAGCCTACGTTGCTGAGGTGTTGCCTGATCCCTCACTGAAGAACATTTCAACTGATTGAGATTGAGCTCCGCTATTGAGTGTCTATGCAGCGCATCCAACATGAGTGCGTGGTGCGGCACGAGGGGCACTTGCAACTCTGCGTCCGCCCAAAGCGCCGCTCCCGGTGCCGATGCCAGTTGAGATCAGCAGTGCAGCACTGGCACAACCGGCGATGCTCGCAGCAGGGCAATCACGCTAACATCATTGGCATCATCACTGTTGGAGCCAAAGACGCTCCGTCTCCCCGCTTGTCACTCCGTCTCCCCCATGTCACGTGCCTGAGCAGCAGTGCCCATGCAAAGACTGATGTTGCATGCGATCGAGGATGCATTGAGGTGGACTGTGACCTCCAGGCAAAGCAGTCTTGCGTGCAAGGCCTGGTTGCAGAGGCTGCCATCGAGAGACCGACAGTGACGCCTCCCGCAGCGCCACGCCTCTGCCGCCGCCAGGAGAACGGACAGCCTTGTGGCTGTTCGGCGATGATCGGTCTGCAGTCTCCACGTACGAAGTGAAGTGAGAAGTGACCTTGCAGAGCGGAAAAGCCCCGATTGGCAGACATGTTGCGAGGGGCAGGGAGCACGAGGCGCCCGGATCATGCCCAAAACAAGCTTGCCCGAAGCACCGGCAACGACAGCGCGCTTGAGAATGCCATGTCCTGCCCTCAGGGCGGCGACGTCATTGCCGCGCGCCTTCTACCCTGGTCCGGCTCTTGGGCGCGCACCCCGCCTGCCTCGCTCCTTTCACCTGGACTATCCAGGCAGCCAGAGGGCACGAGTTGGCACGATGGCGCGTGAGTAGAGCTGCTGGGGCCTGCATGATGGCTCTGCTGCATGTCATGGCGCTGCCGGGGGCGCCGCTGGGAGTCTCACTGGTTCCCCATGAACCCCTGACCCCACATGCAGTGACGAAGGTGCAGAAGGGCTCAGCGTGTAAGTGGTGCCGCCGTGGCCTGGGCGTTTGCGGGGCCTGGCCGCCCTGTTTGGCGGTGCTTCGATGCTGAGCCGCTCTCTTCTTTGTCCCTGCAGACTTCTCCCGCTACCAGGTGGGCAAAGGAGGCCAGACGCAGCAGGCTGGGCTCTCTTGCTGCGTCTACAGGGCCAGCAGCAGCGGCCGGCGAGGGCAGCGTGGGGTGGAGGAGCGAGGGCAGCCGGCGGGGGCCTGCATGCAGCCGCAGGGGCGGCCATGCCGCCCGCCACCCGTGCAGCTGCGAGGCCCCGGCTGCAGCACGCAGCAGCGGGAAGAGCGGCGCGGGGCTGGAGAGGGGGCCGGCAGGGCTTCAGACAGAGCTGCAGCCGGCCGGCGGGCTGCCAGCGCATCCCGGCCCGCCCGCCGCCTGCGCCTCGCCCACAGCCCTGCCGCAGTGTTGCCTGCGCTGCTGCCGCTGCCGTTTCGCCTGCTGCTGCCGCTGTTGTGCCTGCCATGAGCCTGCTGCCCGGCGCGCTCTTGATGCGAGCAGGTGAAGTACAAGCGGCGGCGGGCCGGCAAGACCGACTACCGCGCCCGCCTGCGGATGTGCACCCAGGACAAGAACAAGTACAACACGCCCAAGTACAGGTGAAGCCCCCCCCTGCTGTTGAACAATTGCTTTGTTCTTGTCTCGTTTTGTTGTATGCTACCCAGATGGGGGATTGCTGCAGCAGCCTGTGACGACGCGCGCTCGTTTGCCGGCCGGGTGGCTGGTGGCGGTGCCGGCATGCTGACGGCGCGAGGGCTGGCAGCGTGGGCGGCATGGAGGCTGGTTCGGGCGAGGGCACAGCATGCAGCAGGCTACTGAAAACGGCAGCGCAGCTGGATTGCTCGGCTGTAGGGCAGCCTGAGCTGCTGGGAATGCGTGGCGGCAGGCGCCGGGCTGGCGGTGTGGCAGGACGGGGGCTGGCTGGCAGCGTGGCTGGAGGCTCGCCTGCAGCACTCGCGCAGCCGGCAGCGGCCGCGCATGCACAGCTGCCCGCGCGCGGCGCGGCAGCAGCCAGCCGCAGCTGGGCAGCCGCGGCAGCGCATGGGGCCCGTTCGGGGGAGCGCCAGCAGCCGGCCGCCGTCCCCAGCCACCCACTCCCCTTCGCCCCCACCCCACCCTGGCTTCGGCCCCTTGCCCACGCCGCCCACGCCAACCCCGCCCCCTGCCCGCCCCGTTGTTTGTGTGCCGCAGGCTGGTGGTGCGCTTCACCAACCGCACCGTGGTGTGCCAGGTGGCGTACGCCACCATGGCCGGCGACAAGGTCATCTGCGCGGCGTACAGGTGCGCCCCCGCCCCCCGCCCCCGCTCGCACACCCGCCTTCCCTCCTGCTGCACACACTTCCGCTGTGCACGCCAAGCTGCCTGCGGCCGCCTGCCGTTGCCGCACTGCCGCTGCTCTCCGCTGCCCTCCGCTGTTCGCTGCCGCCGCGCCGTATGCGTGCGTGGTGTGGTGTGCTGCTGGGGCGGCTTCCGCGCCGGCGCTGGCCCGCCGCGGCCTGGGTGGAGGGAGGTGATGGGGATGGGAGCGGCGCAGCGCGGTCCGGCCAGCAGGCGGCCATGCCCCGGCGGATGCCTGCGGCTGCTGGCGGCGGCTGAAGATTGGCAGCCAGCTGGGCAGGGAGGCAGCTCGCCCTACCTGGGCGATAGCGGAGCTCTGCCTGCATGGCGCTGGCGGCGCATGCGGCGGGAACCCTGGGGCTGCCGCCGTCCCCGATGGGACAGGCACAGAGCGGCGCACGCAGGCTGGCAGCAGCTGCGCCAGCTGGCATGCGCCGCTCTCTGCCGCATGCCATCGGGCCGCCGCCAGCCCCTCCCTCGGCTCCCGTCGGCGGCGCGCTCCCGCGGCGGGGCAGCACGCACGCCCCCCCGGCTGCCAGCACAGCACCCAGCCGCCTCCTGTGCCGCCGCCGCCCTTGCTGCCGCTGCCGCCGCCGCCGCCGCTCCCCGCTTTGCCCCAGCACCACCCCGCTCGCTCGCTCCCTGCTCTTCACCGCCCTCTTCCTTTCCTTCCTCCCTCCCTCCCTCCTCCCCGCAGCTCCGAGCTGCCGCGCTACGGCCTGAAGGTGGGCCTCACCAACTACGCCGCCGCCTACTGCACCGGCCTGCTGGTGGCGCGCCGCATGCTCAACAAGCTGGGGCTGGACAAGCACTACGAGGTGAGGGGCCCGGGCGGGGGCTGGTGCGGGGGTGCTGCTGGTGGTGGTGGCGCTGCTGGTGCTGCTGCGGCCCCTGCCCAACCGCAGCGCACCACCCCCACCCGCGCCGCAACACCACCCACCCACCCACACTCTCACACACACACACGCACACACACACGTGCTGCCATACACACACACACACACACACACACACTTCCACCCCCCCCACACACACACGTGCTGACATGCCCACCTCCACAACCCCCTGCAGGGCAACACCGAGGATGTGGGTGAGGACTACAATGTGGAGGCCGAGGACGACGCGCCCCGCCCCTTCCAGTGCATCCTCGACGCCGGACTCAAGCGCACCTCCACCGGCTCCAAGGTGGGGCCGGGGCGGGGCGGGGCCGTCAGCTGGGCTGGGCTGGGTGGGGAGCCGGCGGCTCGGCTGGGGCTGCTGCCGGCGCCGGGCGAGCCGCGGCAACGCACGCAGTGCACAGTGTTGTGTCTTCTTATCCTCACATGCACGTGCCCACGCCCGGCTCGCCGCCAGCCCCCTTACTCACCGCGCCCGCACCCCTGCCTCCCTCCCCTCCCTTTCCCCCGCCCCGCCTCCCCGCCGCCGCCCCCCGCAGGTGTTTGCCGCGCTCAAGGGCGCGCTGGACGGCGGCCTGGACATCCCTCACAACGAGAAGCGCTTTGTGGGCTTCGACCCCGACTCCAAGGAGTTTGACGCCGAGGTGGGCTGGGGTGGGCTGGTGTGGTGTGGTGTGGTGTGGGCTGTCTGGCTGGCTGTCTGGCTGGCTTAGGGTTTAGGTTTTGGGGTTGGGTGGCTGGCTGGCGGGGCGGGGTGGGGAGGGGTGGGGTGGGCGCCAGGTGTGACGCCGAGGTGGGCTGATAGTTTCTTGTTCAACTTAGCGGTTTTGCTGGCCGGCTGATCCAGAAATACTGCCGCCGCTGCCATGTTGTACCGCAGGTGCTGCGCAAGTACATCTACGGCGGTCACGTGGGCGAGTACATGGAGGAGATGCAGGTGGGCGGGCGGGCGGGCGATTATTTGTTTATTGTGTGCATATGTAGTAAGCCTGGCGCTGCGGGCCTTGTGGGGGGGGCAGAACTTGGCAGCGTGGCGACCCGAGCCCGGGCGCTCCTTTAGGAAGCACCCGGGCAGGCCTCGGTGCCGCTGCGGCGCCCAGCCAGCCGGGGCCGGCCGCTCCTGCACCCGGACTCGGCATGGGAGACGGGCGCCGCGGGCGCGCGAGGCATCGCCCTCACACAGCTTCGCCTCGCCGCTCTGCAGCGCTGCCGCTCATCGCCGGCCCGCGCCCCTGCCCCTCCCTGCGCCCCGCCTCTTGCCGCCGCCCGCAGGAGGAGGACCCTGAGAAGTACACCGCGCACTTTGCCGAGTACCTCAAGGCGGGGCTGGAGTCTGACGACCTGGAGGACATGTACACCAAGGTACCGCTGCAGTACCACCGGCACCGTACCGCCGGTGCCGTACTGCTGGGACAAACGGCGCCGCCGCGCGCGGTGCCGGCGTGCCTGGCGTGCCTGGCGCACGCCGGCCCGTTGCCTGCCCGTCTGGGGCCCCTGCCGTGCTGCTTTGCCACTCACCCGCCTTGCCCGCCTGCCTTGTGCGTGTGTGCGTGTGTGTTGTGCGCGCAGGTGCACGACGCGATCCGCGCCGACCCCGCGCCGCAGCTCAAGGCCCGCAGCAAGCCCGCGGAGTCCAAGCGGTGGAAGGAGGTGAAGCTGACGTATGAGCAGCGCAAGGACAAGCTCAAGGCGAAGCTGTCGGAGCTGATGGCCGGGGAGGACGACGAGTGAAGAAAGAGCCGGGAAGGGGTTTTGACCGGCGGTCAACGGCCGACGCGCGGCCGGCGGCCGGCACCCCGCGCCAAGGTTTCGGGCGGCGGCTAGACCCAGAAAAAGCCGGCGCGATGCAGCAGCCAGGCCGCGGTGGCGCCCTCCCCTGGAGCCGGAGTCTCAGGATGGGCCCGTGCGCGGCGGTGGCAGAGTTCAGGGGCCGGGGGCGCGGCGCTGCCTGCGCACCCCACCCCTGCCTTGCCTGCCTTGCCCTCTTGTAAGGCAAACACACCCGCAACACGACGGTGGTGGCTGGTGGAGGGCGCAGCCTACAGGCGGCCACTGCTGGTTGGTTGAACCGGCGCCAGCATTGCACAAGCATAGGCAAGGAGGGTTTGGAGGGCAGTTCTTTCCCAAGGATAACAGGCAAGGAGGGTTTAGAGGGCAGTTCTTTCCCAAGGATAACAAATTCTCGGGAGGTGAAAGAGAGGAGATCACTGAGCAGCGGCATGCTCCGCTTCCGCCTCCGTTCCTCCGGCCCCAGTGCCGCCGCCCCTACCGCTCCCACCGCCCTCGTTGGCGCTGCTCCTGCCTCCATCATTCTCATCGCTGCTGCCGCCGCTGCTGCTGTCCGAACTGGCAGCGCCGCTGCCACCGTCTGTGCCTCCGCTCTGAGGTGTGGCCTGCGTGGCAGCCGCTGCAGCGTCCGCCTCGGCATGGTCACCTCCGCTGCCGCTGGTGCCTTCCTCGCTGCTGGCTCTGCCAACCTCCACGCTGCTGCCGCTGGGTTGCACGCTGCTGGCGGCGCTGCCGGCTCCCCCGAGGCCGCCGCCGCCGCCGCCGGCGGCATCCCCGATTGCGACGTCCGCCGGCAGCCGGATCCAGGCTGCAGCAGGGGCAAGCGGCAGGCAGGTAGGCAGGCAGGCAGCGGGTCGCCAAGCCACAGACCACGATGCGGCTACCGCACCGCAGGCACCACTGCCACTGCCACCGCCACAGGCGGGCGCGTGCTGTCTTCCTCTGTCCATTCCAAGCTGTGCTTCCAAGCTGTGCCACAGGCCCTCACCCAGGTCCACGGGCCGGTCCCAGCTGGAGGACTGGGTCTCTTGGTTGAAGTAATAGACGCGCCGCTGGTCCGCGCTCCACAGCTCCACCCACACAAAGCGGTAGTCCTGCGGTGCGGGCGAGGCGCGCGTGCGGGGCAGGCGGGGAGGGCGGGGCCGCATGTGCGGGGCGGGGGATCACGGGTGTGGGGCGGGCAGACGGCAGGCAGGCGAGTGGCAGGCGGCATGCAGGGCGCAGCAGGCAGCAGGCAGGAGGCAGAGGCAGCAGGCAGGAGGCAGGAGGCAGGAGGCAGAGGCTGGCATGGGGCATGAAGGCATGCAGGGCTCACAATGTTGACGGGACCTGGCCCCGGGTCGTCCTGCCACTCCCCCGCCGCGCTCAGCCAGTGCCGCTTGCCGCGCTCGTCCAGGTAGGGCGCGCCCCCGGGGTCCTCCTCCTGCCGCCGCCCGCTGAGCGTGTTGAAGAAGGTCCAGCTGCGTGGCGGGAGGCGGAGGAAGGGCGGGGCGCGGGCGAGGTGCGGCAGTGAGGGGCCAGGCGGCAGCAGCAGGCCTACCAAGCGGGTGGCGACAGACAAGGGGCGAGGAACCCACAGGGATTGCCTCGCAGGCTGGCGACCAACCAACTGCTGCCTGAAAGCTGTCCAGAGCTGATACCGCTGCCGCCCGGCGGGCCGCTCACCGCGTCTCCAAAGGGTGCGGCAACTTCACCGGCTCCGCCTCCGTCCCCAGGTGCTCCGTGGCATGACCATCCTCTGCGGCTGGCGCACCAGGCATCAAAGCCAGCAGCCCTAACAAGAGGAGGAGATGCCGCGACATGCGGGTTTCTGGGCGGTTTGCGCTGAGGCAGCAGCGAATGTGCAGCTCAAAGTATGGAATCGATCGACCTCAGAGGCCGCGCAGGGGAAATCGAGTGCTCCTGCTCTGCGTGAAGTGCTCATTTCGTCGCTCAGGTCATGGGGAGCCCACGCGGGCCGCCGCAGCCATTCTGCGCATCAAGTCAGCACCCTAACCACTGCACATCCATCTCCTGGCAGCTACACGCTGTAGCACCGACGCCGGCAAGACCACGGCGGTTCCTTCCTTGCTCGCTGCGACACCCCGACAAGCATAGCCACACACCCTACATGCGATCAATGTCCATACGGACCACGGCCAGGCCCCTCGGGGTGCCCGGCCGCGCCGTTCGGCAGTCGCGGACCTCTCGCGTGAGTTTCCTCTGAGAGGAAGCCGCCCCGCCTCTCGAGCAGGCGTGCAGTGGCCCCAAGCAGCATCCCACGCCGATGTCAGGTCCTGGAGCCTGCGCCGCAGCCTGCAGCCAGGCGCCAGCCCTTGGCGACACTCGCCCGCCACCTCCCGCCGCCGCCGCCTGCAGGTCCTGGCCTCGGCCACCCCGGAGCCTGCCCCCACCCGCTACACCACCCGGCTGGAGCACATGGACACCGTCCTGCTGCACCCCTGGCATGACCTGGACCTAGCCGAGAGCGAGCTGAGCTCGTACTGCTCCACCCTGGGCCCCGACGCCGCCACGGAAAAGTGCTGGCAGGTGGGTGTGGGCCCAGCGGCTGCGGGCCAGGAGCCGCACGCCGCGGCAGCCCTGCTCCGCTGCGCACAAGCACACCGCATCCCCGCATCCCCAACAGTTCCCGTCCCATCCTGGCATCAGCGACGCTCCCCTCCCTCTGCATCCACGCCCGTCCCCTGCCCCTCACCTCCTCTGGCACCTCCTGCGGGCGCAGGCCTACTCCTTCCTGGAGCGCAAGCGGGACCAGGCCAAGGCGGGGTGCGACCTGGAGCAGGCTCCAGGCTGCGCCGACCTGGAGCGCCTCAATGACATGACGCACCAGCTGCTGTGCACCGGCAGCGTGAGTGTGCCTTGGCCTGGGCCCATCCTGCACATCCCGCCTGTGCCTGGCCTGTGCCTGGCCTGTGCCGGGGCCGGGGCCGGGGCGCAGCTGTGGAGCTGCACCGCCAGCACGAGCGCCGCTGCCACCGCTGCTCTGCCACCCGTGCGGGTGTAACACAGCTGCAGCAGCGGCGTAGCGCTCCTGCGCCGGCAGCCCACCCCGCCGCCTGGCCTCCCTCTTTGAGCACGGTTTTGAGCCAAGGGGGCCCTGCTCCCAGCACCCCCGCCGCAGCCCTCGCCCTGCTCCCAGCTTCACCCCACGCTTTCTTCCCTCCCGCTGCCTCCCCGGCAGATGGACGATTTGGTGGCCACCTTCTCCTCCCTAGCTCGCGTGGAAGAGCTGCGCGCGGCACGGGGCGCCACGCCGCAGCAGCTGCAGCAGGAGGCGGCCCAGGCGGCGGCGCCGGGGGAGGCCGGCGCCAGCAAGCAGCCCGACGCCGTGCATGCGCTGTTCAGTAGACTGGACACAGATGGGGACGGCAAGTGAGCCTGGTTGCTGCCCGGGTTTGCGAGTGTGGCTGCTGCCAACTCTGGTCTTTTTGGTGGCGGCGCTGGCTGCCACGGCTGCTGCTGCTGCTGCTGCCGCTGCTGCCTGCTGGCTGCACACCCCTCCCGCTGCTCTCGCTTGGTCTGCCAGCAGGGACGGCAAGCGGGTCTGCTGGCCGTTGCCGAACTGGTGTGTGTTGGGATGAATGTGTGTGCACCCTGGTAGCCGCTGGTCATCCCTGGGCCAGCTGCTTTGGCCCAGTGCTGGCCAGCCACGCCAGCACCGCACATTCATGCCAACGCGCACCAGCTCAGCAACGGCGGCCACCCCGCCGTCATCCCCCTGCTGCTGCTCGCTGCCGCGGCTGGCTGGCTGCCGCCTGTGCCGTGCCTCCAGCTATGCTCCGCACCGACCCCCCCACCTGCCCTCCCGACTGTCTGCCTGCCTGCCCGCCTGCCTGCCTGATTGCCTGCCCCCTGCCCTCCTGCAGGCTCTCGTTGGTCCAGCTGAGGCAGGGGATGGCGCTTCTGGGGCAGGAGCTGGATGGCGACACGGTGAGGGCAGGGCACGCTTGCAGCCCCTCACCCACCTGCATCCCCCTGTCCCCCTCCCCTCTCCCCCATCCCCACTGTTGGTCCCCCTGCGGTCCCCCCCTCGCTCCCCCGCAGGCCGCCCTGATTGGCGAGGCCATGGATTGGCAGGGCGGGGAGGGTATCGACGAGCAGCAGTTCCGCGACACGCTGGACGCCGAGCGCCTCAACTCGCACAGCCAGGTGGCCACCATGTGGCGCCGCCACCACCCCTGCCGCCCCGCCTGGTGGAGCGATGCGCCCGCGGGCAAGGGTAGCATGCTGTCCTGACTGTCCTGAGCCTGGGGGGTGTCCATCCGTGCCTGGCCAGCCTGTTAGGCTTGCGGACGCCTACAGAAGCGGGCCGTGCCGGTGCTGCCGGTGCCACCCGCGCAACCCCAAGCCCTGTGTGTTTTTATGTATGATAAACGACGCCTAGTGCCTATTGCCATCACAATCACATCACAGTGCCCCACCATTTTTTAATTTTGAGCGCCGCCAGCTGATTCGACTGCTTTGGCATGCTTTGTTCGTCTGCCCCGCCGGCCCCCTCGGCCCGCCCCCACAGATTTGGCACTTTCATATGGGACGCGCGTTTTTCCCTCGACTGCCCAGCGCGCCTGTTCTTTCAACACTGATTTGCGGCTGCAGTGCCGCCACCCCCCCATGCATGCATGTGATCTTATGCAATGCGGCGGCCAGCTCCCATTGACATGCCCTGCTTTCATCGATTGATTGATCGGTTGTCCTGGGTGTGAATCGCCTTCCGCCCAGGCTGCTGCATTGGGGTGGAGGAGGTCGTGGCAGCTTGAGTCATGATCAGCAGGACCCGGGCTCAGCCCAAACAACCCTTGCATGCATTACATGGTGCCAGCGGAGGCCCAAACGGCATGGGGGCCGACAGGTGTCTTTCTTGACCGAAATAGCAACATGGATGCATAACACGTGGGGTGTGGTGAGGGGACATGGCGTTGGGTGGTTGGCCGGCAGGGGCCGGCGGGGGCGCAGCCCGGCAGCCTTCTGGCCGCCGCCATGCGCCGCTGCCGGGCCCCGAGACTGCTCGACCTGTGTGCTGATGGGCGGTTTCCGGGATTGGGATAAAAATCCAAGGAAATCAAATGGACAAGTGGGGCAAAAAGTGGTGCAGGGCGAGATGAGGCGGGCGGCTCGGACGCACAGGCCGTGCCAGCGTGGGCGTGCCCAATAAATGTGTGTGCTGATGTGGTGTGGGGTGCGTGTCTCTCCGCGATGCAAGCCGGGCTGTCCGCACCGGCGCATGCTGCTGCTGCTGCTGCTGCTGCTCTGAGGCAAGCCGTCCCGTGCAGGGGCCCGGGGCGCTGCCCTCCAGAAGGGGCTCCCGCATCCGGCTGCTCAGGCCTTGTGCCGCATGCTGCGGTACCACCGGCTCAGTCCTTATACCGCATGGTTGCCTTCTCAAAGCCCACCGTGGGGAACTGCGGGGCCAGCCAGGCAAAGGACATGCTGTGTCTGTGACTGCACGCATCGGCCAGGCAAGGCAGACCAGCCGGCCGGCAACCTCACACTACGAACAGCCCTTGCCGCTGCCTCTATGGAAAGAGGCACATGGAGAGCGGCCCACACGCGCACCTGCTTGGCAAAGTCCTCGACCTCCCGCCGCAGCGCGCCCAGCGCGACGGGCTCCTGCACAGCGCACAGCGCGCGGCGCACGCGCGGCGCGGTGACGGGCCGGCCCGACGCACGCACCAGCGACACCGCAGCAGCAGCGGCACTAACCACCAACCAACACCGGCATGCACAACCACCTGCACACCACCACCAACCCCACCTCCTTCTCCAGCGCCTCCCGGAAGTCCTTGAGCTTGGGCCCGCTGCTCTTCTTGAGGTCGGCGGCAATCTGCACCGCCCTGCAGGCGCGGCAACACACACACCGCGAGGGACGCGGCAGCGAGGGGGCTGGTCAGAGGAGGGTGGGGCAGCAGGGCGGGGGCATGCACAGCCCCTGGCTGCGCAGCGGGCGCCGGTGGCGCTGCACCCGAAGCCTGACCGGCGGTTGTCTGCACGAGGTACACCTGAAGTGACGGCTGTACGCTCCCGGAGCAGCCCTGCCCCTACCACTCAGCCTGTGCCCCAAGCCCGCCCGCCTGTCCACCACCAAACTGCGTGCCCAGCCGCAGCCACCCCGGCGCGTGCCTCGGCCCCCAGCACCCCTCTCCCAGCCCACCCACCTGTCCACAAACTGCGCCACCTGCTCAAAGTCGGGCTCGATGAAGCCGCGGGAGGTGAGGGCGGGGGAGCCCATGCGCAGGCCGCCGGGCACCATGGCGCTCACGTCGCCTGCGGGGGGTGGCAGGGGCGGGGCCGGTGAGGACACAGGCTGGCTGGTGCATGCGGCCTTGCGGCGGCGGGTTGCGGAGAGGAGCGGGAGCGAGGGACAGGGGGGCTCGGCCCGTTGGAGGGCAGATGGGCGAGGGGATGCTGCCAGGCTGGGGCACGAGCCGCTGAGAGCGGCGCGCGGCATGCGCACGGGCAGGCAGGCCGCCCGGCCCGCCAGGCTGGCAGCTGACCTGGCACGGTGTTCTTGTTTGCTGCAATGTGGGCCAGCTCCAGCACACGCTCCACGCGGGAGCCGTCCACGCCCTGCATGGAGGGAATGGACGCACAAAAGGAGTCAGTCATACAGTCGGGCGGTTGGGCGGGCAGGGCGGGCGGCGCGTCGGCCACTCTGCAGCCTTTGTGTGCCCTGCCCATGCTGACTGGGCACTGCAAAAAGCAAAGGTGCCCAACTGGAGGGCGGGAGCCACAGCCGGAAGCCGGCCCCGCCCTGCAGCGGCCCCCAAAGCTTTCCCAGCAAAGCGGGAGCCCCAAGCGAAAGCAGCACCAAAGTAAGACCCAGCGGCAGGTGAGGAGGGGCACCTTGGGCCGCAGGTCTGCCAGCACGATGTGGTTGTCGGTGCCGCCCGACACGAGGGCAAAGCCGCGCTGCTGCAGGCCCTTGGCCAGCGCCTGGCTGTTGCGCAGCACCTGCGCGGCGCGGGGGGCCGGGCGGTTTGTGTTAGGGCGGCGGCGGCGGCGAGCGCTCTGTGCCTTGGGCTGTGGCCACCGCACACGACACACCACCGAACGCGATACCACCACACACGATACCATACGGTGATACCCGAGGCGTGGGCTGCATTAGGTGCCAGTCCCCCTCCCCACCCCACCCCACCCCACCCACCACACATACCACCACCACCACCCCTCCTCCCACCTGCTCCTGGTACGCCTTGAACTCGGGTGTGGTCGCCTGCTTGAGAGCGCAGGCCAGGCCAGAGATGGTGTGGTTGTGGGGGCCGCCCTGCGGCAGGGGCAGGGGCAGCGCAGGGTCGGGGGTCGGGGGCGCTGGAGCGAGCACGCCAGGGGCGAATCGGGCCGCGGCGGCAGGCAGGCAGGGGGGTGGCGAAATCACAGAGGGGCCCTCTGCCCGGGCACGCCCCGCTCCTCCCTCCACCCTGGGCGGTTGAGAGCCCACCCGCCCAGCCACCCACACGCTACACGCGCCCCGCCCTTCCCTCCACTCTAGGTGATTGAGAGGTCACCCGCTCAGCCACCCACGCGCTACGCGCTACGCGCCCCGCGCTTGCCTGCAGCCCCGGGAAGACGGCAAAGTTGATGGGGGTCTCCAGGTCGTACATGATGGGGTTGCCCTTCTTGTCGGTGCCCTGCGGTACGGGCGGTACGGGTGGTGCAGCGGTACTATCAACAAGGCGCAGTGAGGCACGGGGAAGCACGGCTTGGGGAGGGGCTGGGGGGGGAGGCTGGGAGCCAGCTAGCTGCGGAGCGGCCCACCTCGTGCCCGTCGGCCACCCTTCCCACCCCCGCACGCGGCAGCGACGCAGCAACGCACGTGCAGGCACGCGTTGGTACTGCATTGCGGCGTGGCCCCACCCACCTTCTGGCCCTTGCGGTAGAAGATCATGGCGCCGCGCGGACCCCGCAGGCTCTTGTGGGTGGTGGTGGTCACGACGTCTGCGTAGTCAAAGGGCGAGGGCACGATGCCCGCCGCCACCAGCCCCGAGATGTGCGCCATGTCAGCCA